TCCGTGTCCCGGGGATTAGTCCCGTCCCGGCGCTAATCCCGGCCCCCACCCACCCGCCCCGGGGGGGGCGGCGCCCCTGAGGGAGCGGGGGGGGCGGGAGCGCAGCCGTACCTTCGGCCTATAGGCGCGCACCACGCTCCCTTCGACCAATGAGCGGCGCCTGATCCGCCTCTCTCGGCCAATGGGGGGGGAGGAGGCGGGGCCGCTCAGGCCGGTGGGGCGCGGATCCATTGTAGCCGGGAGCGGGGCCGCGGGGCGGGGACACGCGGTCGGGCCGCGATCGCGCTTCCCTGGCGGTACCGGCGCCGGTGGGAGCCGTCCCGGCCATGCTGGCCGCCTCATGGCCCCGGCGGATCAGGACGCGCTGGCCGTGCGGGAGCAAGTCTTCCACGAGAGGGTCCGCGAGTGCATCGTGAGTGCCGGGGGTCGGCGGGGGAAGGGGCCCGGTGTGGGCCGGTGGGGTCGGGGGTGGGAGCCCGCAGCCCCCTCGGGAGGTGTTTTGGGGCCCGGTCGCCGCTGTGCCCTCCGCCCGGCCCTTATCGGTGGCAGAGCCGCGGCGGGCTGCCCTGCGCCCCGAAGATAGCGGCGTCCCGGGGGTGCGGCAGTGGCAGAGCCGGGTCCCTGTCCCCGTGCCAGCAGCAATTCCCCAGGGCGCCCAGTCTCAGAGTGAAGGGGTCCTGCAGAGCCCCCCCGAATCGTTGTCACCGTGGAGGGAGGCTCCTCTGGTCAGCCGGGACACCGGCTGCTGCGGGCACAGAGATGGGGGTGACCTGGGTGTCTTGGTCCTGACATCCCTCCAGGGATGCTGTGTGTGCGTGGCCACACGTTGTGACCAGCAGCGCCGGGGCCATCTCACCACAGCTCGATTTGATGCTGTGGGGAGGAGCTGTTGGCTGGATCCTGGCGTCTCTACCATGGAGCTCCCCAAACCCTTTCCCTGACCCATCCCAGGGAGCTGCATCTCACCATGGAGCTCCTGCCTCAGCAGGGTCAGCATGGAGCTCTCTTGGCCTGATTTCGCTGAGTGTGGGATGTGCTGGGGGTCCCCCCAGCCAGGCAGGGCTCTGGGCTGTGGGGTACAGCCTGTGGCAGGAGGGGATCTGCAGCCTGAGACCCTTCCCTGGGTGGAAGCAGGAGCAGGAGGACCTGTTGGATGCTGCCTCTCCGAGGGTCTGGAGCTGGGCTGGTTCCTGGGGCTTCCCTGCCACCCCACCAAGCAGATCCCGGGGACCCGTGGCCGGCTGAGCCCCCCGAGCCAGGGCAGGAGGGAGGTGCTGCGGCTGCTTCACTCCACCTGTGCCAGGGTGGCGGGTTCAGGTGACCTTTCCCCGTCCTGCCGCGTACCCAGCAGGATGAAAGGTCACCTTGTTCCTTGAACATCATCTGCTCTGGCTGGACCTCGGCGTGCTGACGGGGCGGGAGCGATGCAACAGCCAGCTTTGGCGCCCGGCTCAAGGCCGTTCCCATGGCGCTGGTTCCAGGGGGGTGAGGGCTGTGGGTTGGGTGGTGTGAGGATGTCCTGCGGAGTCAGACCTCCGGCTCTGCCAGCACAGGCCAAGCCAGAGCTGCTGGGTGGGTTCTCCCTGGCCTGGGCCCTGTGGCAGCTTGTCGCACCCAGGGGTGAGCCCTCGATGTAGCCCCTGTGCACAGACAGGTCTGAGCACACGTGTGGGGTGTTAGCAGGTCCAGGAGGGGAAAAACAAATCGGGGGGAGCTGACAGGCCCCGGGGCTGGTGGCATCGGCTGGGGTGGGTGGGAGTGCTGCCCTCCAGGCCTGCCTGTGCTGCCCTCCCTCCTCCTCTGCCTGCAGATCTGTGCCCTGCTCTTTGCCAGCCTCTACATCCTCTGCCACTTCATCATAACCCACTTCAAGAAGCACACGGACTTCACAGCAGGTAGAAGGGCGGGAGCTGCCAGAGCCAGGCAGACATTGGCAGCCACGTTCAGCCTCCCCAGAGCTTGTTCCTCCATCGCTTTTGGCCTCCCCTGGGAGCCCCAGTCCCGCTGCAGCCTGGGTTGCTGTGCATCAGGGCGCCTCTCTGGCTGCCATGGGAGGGGAGCAGAGCCCAGATCCTCTGGGAGGGTTTCTGCAGCATTTGGAGCAGGGGGAGGTATTGGGAGCAGGCAGAGAGCGATGCTCTGGGCAGCCCTGCCTCCCCCAGCCCCAGCAGATTGGGTTTTTCCCCCCTCCCTGCAGTGCACGATGATGAGGATGCTGCTGTCAACAGGATTGCGTAAGTTCCTGCTCATCCTGCTCCCTGTCTGCGGGGTGCTCGGCCACTTCTTTTTGCTGCCTGGCTGGGACACTGGGTCCCCTCAGCTTGTGGGGGGGCTGGTGACTCTGGGGGCCGCAGCCAGGCTGTGACACACCTGGAGCCAATGCTTGTCCCTGCTGCAGGCTGGGGCTGTGCACCTTCACCCTGGCTGTGGCGCTGGGCGCTGTCCTCTTGCTGCCCTTCTCCATCATCAGCAACGAGGTGCTGCTCTCCTTCCCCCAGAACTACTACATCCAGTGGCTGAACGGGTCCCTCATCCACGGTGGGTGTGTGGGGCAGCCCGGGGGGATGCTGCAAGGGCTGTGGGTCAGGATTTCTCCCCCATGGGAGCTCACCCCACACTTTCCCCCCTCTCCAGGCCTCTGGAACTTGGTCTTCCTCTTCTCCAATCTGTCCCTCGTCTTCCTCATGCCCTTCGCCTACTTCTTCACGGAGTCAGAGGGCTTTGCGGGATCCAAGAAGGTAGAGACCCCTGCAGGTGCCCCCCCGGCTCCATCCCCCCTGTCTCCGGCTCCCCACTGATTTGGCTCGCACAGGGCATCATGGCCAGGGTATACGAGACATCGGTGGTTCTCCTGCTGCTGACGCTGCTGGTGCTGGGCATGGTCTGGGTGGCCTCCGCCATCGTTGGCAACGACGCGGCCAGTCGCCAGTCACTCCATGGTGGGTGCTGCCGGGGTCTGCTGGGGCCCTCCCGGCTCTGGAGGGGGAGGATCAGGCCCTGGTGCTGAATGGGAGAAGGGATGCCCGGTGCTGCTGGCCTGACCCTGCCATCTCTGCAGACCTCTGGGAATACTACCTGCCCTACCTCTACTCCTGCATCTCACTCTTTGGCGTGCTGCTTCTGCTGCGTGAGTCATGGGATATTTCCCTCTGGTGTCCTGGCCACAGTGGCCCCTCCTGTGCCAGGTGTGGGTCCCCTGGGGTGCTCGGCTGGGAGCAGGGACTGCTCCCTGCAAACTGTGCCAGGGTCCCGAGGGGCTGTGGTGCAGGGCTGAGCCCCCCAGTCCCTATCCAGGACCCTTCTGAGGGTGCGGGGAGAGGTAGGATGCTGGGATGCCCCCTGCTCAGCCTTTCCTCCCACCACAGTGTGCACCCCCTTCGGCCTCTCCACCATGTTCACTGTCACGGGGAAGCTGCTGGTGAAACCCCGGGTAAGGTGTCCCCCCGTCCCCGGTCCCACTGCTCCACCCTGGGGGATACTGTCCCTGTCGCTGCCTGGTTTCCGTCCCAGGCCCGGGGTGCCATTCACACCACCCCACTCATGGGATCCTTGCCTATCCCCAGCTTCTGGAAGACCTGGATGAGCAGTTGAGCTGCACGCGGCTGGAGGAAGCAGCTGTGTCCCGCAGGATCTCCTCCGGTGGGTGTCCAACATTGGCCGCTGGCCGGGAGGGGAGTCTCAGGGCAGACTGGGTGCCCCTCAGCCCCCATGAGCCCCTTGGCATCTCCTCCTTGGCAGGCAAAGCTTCCTGCTGGCTGAACTTGAACGTGGAGCTGCTGCGGGAGCAGTTCTTCACCATCCGGAGCAAGAGGCGGAAGCTGGGTAAGAAGCCTGGGGGGGTCAAGCCCAGGATGCCTGGGTTCTCTCCAGCTTGGCACTGGAAGCACTGGTTTCCTGTGAGCCTGTGCCTCATGGAGGGAGGGTGGGTGTGAAATGGGGTGGGGGCTGTAACCTTCTGTCCTGGCACCAAAGGCCCCCCCCCTCCCTCAATCTCCTGCCCTGGGGTGGGAGCTCTCACCCAGGTATGTTCCTCCTGCAGAGCTGCGGCACCGAGCATCGCCCTGGCAGAGGAACCTGGGCTACCCACTGGCCATGCTGGGCCTCCTGGCACTGACAGTGAGTACCCCTGGGTCCCCAGGGGATGTGAGACTCATTCCCGTCCCCCTCCAGCCACCCTTACTCCCTCCCTGCTCCTCCCAGGGCATCTCCGTGCTCATTGTCTGCTTCCATGTTCTGGAGCTGCTGCTGGATGATGCTGCAATGCCACGTGGCATCCAGGTACCTGGGCAGGGGGCCGAGGCACAGCGAGGGGTTGTGTCCCACGCTGGCCTGGAGACCACTCCTCCCCAACGTGCCTCCTCCTCTCCCGGCAGGATGCGTCCCTGGGCCAGGTCTCCTTCTCCATCTTTGGTTCCTTCGGAGCTGCCCTGCAGGTCGTCCTCATCTTGTATCCTTCAGGCAGGCGTTCATGTCCCCAGTGATGTCCCCAGAAATGTCCCACCCTGTTCTCCTCCTTAACGCCCCTCGCAGCTACCTGATGGTCTCCTCCGTTGTGGGCTTCTACAGCTCCCCCCTCTTCACCCGGCTGCTCCCTGAGCGGCAGGACACCCCCCTCACCAAGGTGGGAGCACTTGGCTGGAGCTGGGGGGGCTCCTGGGCCCTACTCAGGGTGCAGGACCTCTGGTACCCACAGTGCACAGTTACGTGTGTCCCTGTGGACTGTGCACTGCCCCTGTCCCAGGGCACCACATGTCCCCCCACCTATGGTGCAGCCCTGGGTACAGGCAGGGTCCTGGTGGGGTGTCTCCAGCACCAGGGAGCCCCTTCCCCAGCCTGGGGCCCAGCCCAGGCCATGGGGCAGTGCTGTGTCGTTGTGTGTGTGTGTGTGTGTCCCTGGAAAAACACTTCTTCCTCCAATCCAGATAATCGGGAACTGTGTCTCCTTGCTGGTGCTCAGCTCGGCCCTGCCCGTCTTCTCCAGGACACTGGGTGAGCTCCCAGGGAGGCCAGGGTGACCCTGGGACTGGGGTGTACCCGGGACTGGGGTGCCCTGACCAGCCCCCCACTGCACAGGGATCACACGTTTTGACCTCCTGGGGGACTTTGGCCGCTTCAACTGGCTGGGGAACTTCTACATCGTCTTCCTCTACAACATGGGCTTCGCGGGGCTCACCACCCTGTGCCTGGTGAAGAGGGTCTCCTGGGCTGTTCAGGCTGAGCTCATCCGTGCCTTTGGTGAGGATGGGGACCTGGAGACAGAGGGACGGGCGCTGGGGTGTCACCCCCCTGCCCCCAGCTCTCACACTCTCCCTCTGCCCAGGTCTGCACAAGCTGCCGCTGCCCGTGACCCACTCCCGGCCCCCCAGCAAACCCAGCTAGGGCTGGGGGACAGGGATGTGTCCCCTCCGTCCCCGCTGTGGCCCGCAGGATGGCCACCAGCCGCAGAGCACGCTGCAATGGCACCTGGTGCTTCAGGGATGCCAGAGCCCTCCAGGGAGAGCGGAGAGCCTGTGGGGGAGGCCTGCCCCCCCGTCCCCAGCTCTGTCTCAGCCTGCTCCTTACTGAGCCTTGGCCTTGAACTGTGTCCCCGTCACAGTCCCCCCCGGGGTGCGGGGTCACCCGTCGGGCTGCGCTGGCTGCAGCGTCCCCCACCTCATTACATACCTCATGCTAGAGTGGCCATGCCCCCCCCGACCCCCTCCGGTGCTGCTCCCTGGGTGCAGTTGGGTTTTAAATGTCCCTCCACCCTGGGGACTGTTATGACACTACAGGGGGGAACCTGTGCCCCCTGCCCAGTCACTCCAGACCCTGTGTCACCCTGGGGCTGCGAGGGGGGGGCACTGGTTGTCCCCTGCTCTAAGGCCTTTGGGGTCCCCAAGGGAGGAACAGGGCTTGGAGGGTCCCAGAGCGCTGGGGGCAAGCCCCCCCAGCTGCCTGGAAGCTTGGTGTGATTGAACGTCAGGTCTCTGTTACCACAGAACTTCTTTGGAGCAATAAACAGTCTATTTTTTTATATATATATAAAAAATATCTGAATTAGGGAATATCTGAATCGGAGCAGGGCTGAGCTTGGGAGGACAGGGAAGTGCTCCCTGCCCCTGAGGTTCTCAATCCTGGCCCCCCACCCCTCACCCCTGTCTCCCTGGGGCCCATAATTAACCCTCTTCCTGGGTGGGGCTAATGAGGCTCTTCCAGGAAGGGCCAAAGGTGAGGGCAGCTCCGTGCCCGGGGGTGTCGAGGGGCACCGGGTTATTTCGGGGTGCGGGTGGGAGGCAGGGGGCAGAGATGCCCCCAACGGGGGTCATGGGGGGGTGGAACCCGGCCCCTGCACTCCCGAGGAGGGGGG